CTTCCTCTGTAGGTCACATTGTGTGTGTTCCTCAGACTGATGTACCTAGGAAAGAGGAAAGATGTGACCAAATGGTCTCATAAAAAATTCTTTTTTATTATTGGTGCTTTTATTTAAACATTTATAGCGCCTGAATCATGAAACTCCAAATCTTCTTTACTTTAATGTGGTACTTACTCAGCTTTGACATTGTGCTTCAGTGTTCAGGATAAAGACCTGGTCCCTGTGGTATATAGATTTAATCTCTATTAGTTCTTCTTTCACTTAAATAACAGTGCTCTGAAAAGGCCAGGCAGGATTATGTGGCTTAATACAGAATTTTCATGTTGCAGTACAATAGATATAGACTAGAAAATGTGTTTGCAAACAACTAATAGTAAATTCAGTTACTCTCCCTGGATTCTTTCTGCACACACACACTTGAAAGTTGTGGGTACAATAAGTCTCTTTTAGCTGGCAGAAGGTGGAAATCCCTAGGGTCTGTTTAAGAAGATTTTTGTTACTCAGGGCACTCAATGAGCTGAATACCTCCATTGTCATTCATAAAATAAGCTAGACTAAGAGTATATAGCTCCCATTATATATTCTAAATCATAGCAAATTATATTTGGTTACCTTTTTAAATTGCTAAACTAAGGACTGATACTATTTTTAAGAGAGCCACATCTCTTTCAGACACTCAAATATTAATGGTGACAAATCTTGTATGCCTGAAAGTGCCAGGATTTTATCAGTGCTTTACTGGTAAAGTTAATCTTTTAAAGGTTATTTCAGCACTACAAGCAAAATTTGGTATTTCAGCTTTAATTTCTATTGATTTTTTTTTCCACTAAAGGTTTTGAGATAAATAATCTTTTTCTCACCTATAAAATCAGAATGTAAACTCTTTGATTGCCATAGGAGTCTAAAGTGATTAAAGGTCATCACATTTTGGTTAGCCTTTATGCATATTTTTCTTATATGTGTCCACAAAGTCTTCATTTCAGTGCTCTTTTCCACTGTACTAAGGTGGGGATTAAATAAGAGAGCAATTTGTTCACATAGGTGTGGCATGTGATAGTTTATCTATTTAATATAGTTATCTGTTTATTTAAAATTGTTAATGTTATTGGGGGAATCCCCTTTCTTTTAAGTATATGAGAAAAATGGTGCTAATAATCACAATAATGGAACATCTGGCTATTACTGCTACTCTGCTGCACTGCAGAAGCAGAAAGCATTTCATTCATATTTATCCTCTGATGGTGCTACTCCATTAAATGAGGTTGTCTAGTCTTAGACCATTAGCACCATTGTGACTTCCACTCAGCCAGTCTCTTCATCTATAAAGCCAAGTATAAAATCAAGGTAGATACAGATGCAGATAGGCAGAGGTGGCTTCAGGAAATAATTTGATTTTGAAAGGTTTTCCTGTTCATGCATAGAGCAAACTGTCATGATTTTGTGAACACTGTCCCTCATAATCAGATCTGAATCCATTTACAAGAAGAATCCCACAAACAATAAGAAAAATACAATTTCCTTACAAACAGAGATAGCATTTTCAAAGTTCATAATATAAGTCTGTTTAACTTGGCTAGGTAGTCATAGACTCAGTATTACATTGTGTAATAACATTGGCATACCTTGTATTTGGGTTATATTTATGTTTTAATTACAGATTTTCACCAAGATAAATTTGCAGTAGGCTATGGAAGAGGTCTTATGAATTTCCTCATATCAGATTGTGTCTCATAGTTATATGAGTATATTATATTAGATAGACTCCTTTAAATCATGTTTAACCCCTCAGCCCCTGTGTTCTCAGAGCTGCTTCTTGTGACTCCTTTGCCATCTTAAGATCACAAATGCTGCTCTGATACTGATGTAAAGCATCAGAGCATTTCTTGTGTCCCTTTTCTTTTTGTGAACACTGAACCATACATAGTGACCAACTAGAAATTACCTTACTTCTTATGTGCCATAAGAAGGAGGTACAGCCATATCAGTTAAACTTATGTTTTATTTTGCAGATTTTGTAGTAGCCCTCTGTGGTTATCAAGTACAGAAAAAAAGTCCTTGGCCTTTCCCATTGATTCTGGCCCCTATCACTGGGGATAGATCCTTCTAGCACACAAAATCCTGCTTTCTTTTGATGGAAATAGGGTGCATGATAAGTGGGTTGATATATATCTATATTTTGCCACAAGATGAAAGCAGGATCTGGAAAAAGCATGCACCAACATCCAAGAAGTACATGTAGGTCCCTCAGTTTAAAACTGACTTTTTGAACACAGAATCCCTGCAGAAGTGAGTTCATATTGTCTATAGCAAGAGCAATACAAAGCATCCCATACTTCTGTGCGGACTAGAATTGATTTTTTTTTGTTCTGAGTCCATCTTCAGCCTTCCTGGGAAACATCATGGTAGAAGGAATGGCCAGCCTTGAGACCTCCATGCATCTTTGTGGAAAGCTCTGTTTTCCAGGTAGATCACTTGTCAAGAGAATGGAATAATGGCAAAACATCCACTCTTTGGAGAGTTCTCTGTATGAATCCAGTCCTAAAAGGCTGAATTTTTTGTGCAAAACATTCCAGCCTTGGGAAGTTTCTGGCTATGAATCATTTTGTCTTGAGTTTGAGCAACTTTTTCCTCAAGCTCCTGAAGCTTGTTCTCAAACCAAGGTGACAGGTTCCCTTTCCAGTATTTCACATGCCGTAACAAATCTTGCCCCCTTCCCCATATGACAGCACTATTACTTTTGAGGTTGTGCACTCCCAGACATCATTTTTCACTCTGTGGTTTGGATGGCATGAGAGGCTGCAGAAAGAAAGGACAGGGGAGGAGAAGGGACCCTTTAGGGCTTTCTGCAGGGAACCCCAGGCAGGTGGTGAGGAACCAACAAGCCAGACAACTCCTGGAGGTGGCCAAAATGACCTTCCAGAAGGGACAAGCAGCAATGGCTGCCCCTCAGGAGGTTGAAGGACCATTTTGTTGATTAAATGTCACAGCCCTTGTCATGCTCATTGTCTTTGACTAATTGCAAATAAGGAATTCTATTTGCTGCCTGCCTGTCCACACCCCTGGCTATGCAGGCAGTGTATCCCAAATGTATGTTTTACACAAGCAGTACTTAGTCTGTAATAACAAATAAGAGATTGTTTCTTTTCCAAAAGTCTTTTTGGAAACTATTTGGAAAAGAAACAGTCTTTCTCAAATTCTTTTCCAAAAGTCATTCCCACTTTTTGCTGCTGCTGGCTTTTTTCTGCAGGCTTCAGGGAGTAAATTTTGTCACTGGATCTTGGGGAATCTCCACTGATTTTTTAAAAAAAAAATCAGTTTCCATCCTCCTCTTAAAGACCCTATTTCTTTTTACAATTCCATCAGTTTTTTCTGCAATCTCTCCAGCAGGTCAGAAGAAGCACTACACTGTTAAATGCTAGGACTCGATTTCAAGCAGTAAGGTAGTCTAGGGAAAAGAAACAGCTTGCAACTATTACAGTGTACAGTGAAATCCCTTAGGTGCTGGTCTCTTCCTTAGCTTACAGAGTCTAAATAAAAATTTCCTGAGCATTCCAAAGTACAAAGTCACTGCCCATCTATGGACCATGACAAAATCATGCTAAAATAATGTATAAAACAAACCTTTGCTGTTTATATAATCTGCAGTGAAAATTTCCAAGATTTTTCTTTCAGAGGATGTAATGTAAGCTTAATCAGAAAAAAAAGCACCTATCACTCAAACAAGTAGGCTTTCTCTCAGAAGAAATAGGTAGTTTCTGAAATGCATTAAAGCATGTCTAAAATCCACTATACCTATTCAAAATGAAGTTACAACATTTCAATAATTAGGAGAAGTCTTGTATTTAACGAAGTAATTAGATGGTGTATTAATATTAGTCTCCATCCATAAGATTACATGTACATTTTATCCTACTATTTCAATTTAAATACATGCTCCTCACGGCTTCAAATTTTGGTAACAGACTGTAGAAAAAAATCAATACTTCCTCTTACTGTATTTTCTCAAATTATTCCACTGTTTGAAGCACAAGTTAAATGCAGTTATTTTTAATATTGATCATTGTTGCCTTCCTCCTGCTCCTTCCCTTAACAGAATCATGAGGCTGCTTCTGTGTGTTTGTTTTTTAATCTGGTTTTCTCAGCCATCTCCCTGTATTCCTACTGGGGGAATAGTGATCCACCTGCTGCCCTGTGCTAATGTGATTTGTTACGCATGGCTGAAGTTGACTCAGAGTGTTTTATAAATACTGTTTGTTTTCTATAAAAGTGCATGCATACTGCTGAGAAGAGGTTAAAAGTCCAACAGAATCTGACTGAAACCTAATCCTCTCCTGGTTATATCTCTTCTGTGAACTAGATTTCCTTCTGAACAGGCTGGAAGCACCCTTTGACTAACTTACACCTGCTCTAATATCACTGCATGGTATTATAAACCTGTATGGTGCCCTGTGGGTGTCACAGTTGGACTGTTAAGCACATGCCAAGGACATTCCTGCTCAGTGTGGAGACAAATCCTGCTCCAAGGGAGCAAACTTAGCCTTAAGGCAGCACAGAAAATATTGCAGATTCCTGGTTTATCAAGTAACTAATGACAGGGAATAAATGTTCTTCTTCCAAGTCATCCTCTCATGTAAAAGCATCATCCAAGACCTGTCTAGCAAAGCAGCAGTCAGTTAAAGCACAGAAATTGATGTTTCTGGTCTCCATACTGGAGCAGCTGGTCTGCAGTGGTTATTCCCAGAGACTATAATTATCAGGGATCTCTGTGAGACTCAGGAATTCTCAGCAGCTCCTGGGATCAACTGCCAGGAGATTAACAGGGGACTTTTGCCCAGAGTATTTCTCCTTATAGAGTTTCAAAATGAATTTAATGTATGACTACATTACAGCTACCTGGAAAGAGATTTTGAGCTTAGCAGCAGCAAAGCATCTGAACCATGCTAGAAGTTTACAGGCCTTAAAGAAAAAGTTAATTCCTATTTTTCTTTTACCCACAGGTCTACCCACGGATAGCGCCGGCATTTTGGCACTACCTGCGGGTAGAAGTGAGTAGCGGGTATTTGAATACTCCCACATCTTTATTTTGCAGCTTGGTAGTGTTTCCTGACCTCCTAGTTTGTCCATTGTGCAAAAATAATGAGCTTCCATTGTAGTTGCCATTCTTCTGTGAATGTAGTCTTGTAGTAATTCATGTTGGTTTGACTATGATTGGGTTGGTTGCTAACCCAAGTCACAAAAACACGTCTGTATGCAGGGTTAAAGACAAAAAAACCTGAAATCTAAAAGACAAGGCCATATCATACATTCTGACTGTAGCACAGAACCAATGTACAGAAATCCATACTTGCACCTCCTTTTATAAACACATAAAGCTTCAGTTCTATCATTTTTGCAAAGATTGTTCAACTGAACTTGATATCATTTCTTCCCTCTTTTGTCCTTCAGGAGCATGAGCAGCTCAGCTATTCCTCCACAAGGTCCAAGGCTCCAAGTGTTATCATCACAGGTCTCAAACCAGCCACCAAGTATATATTTCATATCAGAGTCAGGACGGCAGCAGGATACAGCGGCTATAGCCAGAAGTTTGAATTTGAAACTGGAGATGAAAGTAAGTTTCACTGGAGGGGAAAAAAAAAGTACAACAGAAGTAGCATCTAATTCTAAACCAATGAGACATTGAGAGGTTGAATGACTGAACCCATACCATTTGTTTATCACAAAATGACCAGTGCTATGTGATAAAAAAGCCTCAGACTCACAGTTCTGGATGTACATGAACACATAGAAATGTTAGCCCAATGCTGCAGCTGAAGGAATGTTCTCTTCCATAAAATTTCTTTGTGGGTCCCTTCCAAGCTAAGATGCTTTAGGATTTTAGGATTCTGTGATCCTTTCTTTCCTTACAGAAGTCTTGCCTCTTGACATCTAGAAATGCCCTTAGCCAGGCTTTCCATATTGTCCAGCAGCTTCACACAAGCTCCCAGTGATGGACTCTTCACCCTGTAGTTGTCAGTGCTCCCAGACTCCACAAATAAAAAACTGAAAACTTTTATATGCATTTCCATCAACCAGTAAACCTACTAAATTTGGCACTAAGAAACAAGAAGCCTTCCTATTCCTACAAAAGATGCAAAAAGGCTTCATATGTGATGTTCACGCTCTGAACGATTTTATATTTGTTATGTGTTGCCCTCTATGTTCAAAGAAACATAGAAAAAGGTATTTACATGTATTTGAGAGGAAATTAGTGTAGCAGATACAACACTAAAACACTCATTAATTAAATGACTTTAATTAGCCAATTATGTATACCATGTTTTTCATTAGTGTTTTAGAATTCAAGTTGTTTAAGCTAATGTACAGACTCAAAACTATGTAAGTGCTTCCAAGAGCACCTAGGGATTTGTGTTCCATTTTTATTGCTTCTTAACTTCTATTTCAAAAATCAATCAGGGATAGATTTCCAAGTGCTTAGTGCCTAATTGGACTTTTTAAAATTTGCTGGGTACTTAAGCCAATTGGTTCGAATAGGAGTTGAGCACTTGGGTGCTTTCAAGAATTTCAGTAGATCTTGTCTGTGTCTTCTGGTGCAATAAACACATGGCTTGATTCATGTAAACAGAAAATAGGATTTAAACCTCTGTGAGGTTTCACACAGTGAAAATGTCATTTGCCAATCTAAATCAGGAAGACTGTGGCTCCAGTGACATTTCCCTCTTTGTTATTGAGGGAATCTCCTGGGAGTGACATTCCCTTACTCCATCCTGGCCCCATTTCTCCTTCTCAGTGCACTAATGCAGCTGGCCTTTGGGCTGCATGGTAAACTTAATTTTAACATCCTTTTTGAGTATAACATCAAAACTTAGCCTGATACTTAAGTAAACTGGGAAAATAAATCTGTTTATGATGCCATGAACAGACCTAACACAGTTTATCTCTCAATAATTCTGATTTCTATTACTTCCGTGTCTAAGCACTTGGTGCCTAAACTAGTGCATGGTTTCGCATAGCTGAATAAATAGAATACAGCAATGATTTTGTCAGTATTTCAAGATCCTGAGTAACATTTACACAGAGAGATTTGGGAGAGGTGTGTTGAGATTTGGGCTGCTTGGTTCTGTCAGTACCCATAAATGTTAATTTCCCTTGCTAGCCTGCATCTGTCTTACAAACCAGTCCTACTGCAGCTGTGTAGGAATCTCTCTTCATCATTTACTATTCTGGCAGTGTGCAGATCAGCTGAAAATTTTCTGATTTTTTAATATTCATTTCTCTCAATTCTTCTGAAAGATAGCAAATATTATTAGGCCAAGGCAGACTATTGCAGCTCCCTCCATCCCTTCTCACTAAAAACAATTTACCTGGTGAAAATTCCACTTTTGCAATTACTTTTTGTGGACTTTCAATTAGATTTGAATTAACTCAAAAGTAGCATTTTCATGAGAAGGCTGGGAAGAATAGAGTGATTTAAAAGTCTGTGTTGTGAACAGAAAATTTATCAACCAACACTCGTGAAAATAACAGAAAATATTTTAAGTCATGTGTTTGATAAAAAATCCTCCTTTATTGGCCTTAGATAGTAACATCCTACAACTCTCTGCCAATTGAACATGTTGCATTGGAGAAGAATTAATTCCCAGACCAGTTGCAGGTAAACATCCAAGGTTATTCCATTTAGCCAGCTTGAATGTTGATAGTTAATATGTTAATGATAGTTAATTTGTTAATAGATGGAGCTAAAGCGAGCAATCAAAAATTGGGTTTTTTCTTTAATTAAGCCTAATTATAGAAAATAAATGATTTATCAGCTGTGAGATGTGTAGACCAATGTCCTAAAACACACTGTCCTTTGGCAGGACACTCTCCTGCCTTCTCTGGTGTACTGGGTGACACACTATCTGTGTCACTTCAATTATGAAGGTATAAAGGATAAAATAAATACATAATTACTGGGAGCACTAAAACATTTTGGTGGGATTGCTAAAGGTAGTGCATGAGGGAGAGAAAAGACCAAATCTGCAGTAGTATTGGAAGAAGTTAGTAATTAATGCTGGTGTGTTTTTTGGGAAGCACTCTCACTTACTGAGACAGCCACGGCCTGGGGAGCTCTGTTGTGAACTCTTCTCCCTGCTGCAAAAACAAACAAGTGGAGCATCCAAAAGAATGAAATTTGTATTTTCTTTGTGATAGGAAATGGAATTACCTAGGATAGTCAGAAAAAGTCTCCTCAAGGAAGCAGGGATGGATGAATGGATGCTGACAGGCATTTCTCCCCCTTTTAAAGCCCAGAGGCTGCACCTGGGAAATGTGAAACCTTTCCAAAGCACAGCAACCACCACTCATGACTTCGTTTCTTTTTGCCATTTTATTCAGTCTCTGTTTTACAGGCAAAACACTCATAGCAAACCTGGCAGGTTTTCATACACTCCAGCACACACACAGCTGCCACTGCTGGGGCTTTAAATTGGAGCGTAAACCTCACTTGTAGCTCCTGCTTTTATCTGTCAGAATTACCAGCTATATCTGAGTCACCACAGAAACACTCTGGTCCTTCCTAACTGAGAATAAAATGTGTTCTGACAATTAAGAAAAACATTTTTCCTAGGGCAGAGATGCTTTAATCTCTGACTGTTACCTTCTCTGGTTTTTTTTCCCCCTCTCTTCTAACCAGCTGTTTCTGGAATATCTTGTTTTGTTGGGTTCTTTTTTTAAATTAATGATTCAAACTTTTTTTTTTCCCTAAAGAAATTTTTTATTTACATTACCTCAGAGGTCCTTCTACCCAGAGGAATTTGTAAAATATTGAACAATTTACAGCTTTAAGGCAGTTTTCATGTCAAAGCAGGGCATGTTCTAAAACCAAGGGTATTTTCCTTCTTGGCCTTCCCATCATTAGGAAAAAATAATCTGCAAGTGGAATGGTTGGCTTGTTCTGGAAGGGACCCAAGGGACAAAGTAGCATCACTGTGTACTTGTGCTTGGGCTGAATAGAGTGATAAATGTGAGGACATGATCATGTTTAATCCAAAAGCAATGCAGACTTTGTATACTTTAAATTATTAACAATAAAACCCTAAACATTTCAGAAATGCTAATGCAATACCTGACTAGGTGTTTTATAAAGCTGAAGACTGTGAAGAAATAATTGGCTGAAACTGCAGTCTTGATGGATCAATATCTTTAATTTCTTTACCATAGTCACAGACGGTGATTTTTGTGTATTGCCAAAAAATTCTGCTGAATTTTCATATTCTTCTCCCTCTTCCTACATCCACAAAATCTTTTTATCCTCAAATCAGGCTATTTTGGATTTGTCACCAGATGTGACTCCATTCTATCCAGAACTCCAAAGCTCAAGAAAAGGGTCATGAATCGTTGATTCCGGTGCAGGCCCACTACTGGTTTAAGCACATGCCCTGGTTCATGCCATGAGAGAGAAGCCATCCCAAGGATTTTTAGAAAATCTATTTCATTACCAATGCAAAATGGAGTTTTCTTGGGGATTTTTTACGATTATTGTTTTCTTTTTTTCTCTGAGGCTTCTCAGCTTCTCAGGAGAAGAATCCTGGGTCAAGGGATTTTTCCAGAAAATATGATTGTGACACACCTTTCCTTTGCCTTCTCATTCCCCCTTTGACTGGAGCCCATCAGCTCACTGTATCACAGGAGCTGCAAAGGAACTATGTTTGCCTTTATGAAAATGTAAAAGTTGCCCTAATGAGACTTTGTGTTTTTCTTACCCACTGTTCTTAAGCAGTGTTGTTTACAATGCCTTGTAAATCCCCCTGACAGCCTGTTCCTGTCTATTACAGCTCCAGTGCTCACTGTCCACACTTATCTGTCTTACAGCTGCTCACTGTTATCAGTCTGGCTGTCTTTCTGTCACTTTTATATCTTTCAGTCTGCTGGAGGGTCTGCTGCCTGATAGATGTCAAATTGAAGTAACCAAGGGATGTAGCTGAGGGACAGAAGTGAGCTGTCATTAGGGTTTCCAGCTCTTTTATACCAAATACACCAACTTGTAAAATGTTTTGGAGAAATTTGCTCAAAGAGCAGAGCTGAAAGACTCTCTCTGGTTTTCAGCCTCTTGCACTGTGAATAAAACATCTGCACCATTTCTTCCAGTGTGCCCAGTGAGGAAAAGAGGAAACCTCAAGGTATTTCCCTTCAGCCCAGAGAGAAGGGAAGGTGCAGCTCCTCCTCCATACATTTGGATGTAGAACCTAGAGAGAAGATGAGACAGGGCATGGATGTAAAAAGTGAATTGTAGGGGCAGAACTGATGCCAGGCTGGATGCAGAAGGGATTTTTGGGTGTGGTGTTGAGCAAGGATGCTGGAACGATGCAGTTAAAAACTTCAAGCATCATTTCAGGCCTATAGCAAGAGTTAAGCATGAAGAGCAATGGCAGTGAGGAGTTTGTCTCTATAAAAATCTCCTGGGTACATATATAATCCATGCTGCAGTTTTAAAATCACTTGGGCTAATCACATCAGAAGCAGTTAAAATGTTCTTGAAGAGTTTTGCCACCCAAACATTGCAGTGTACTACTGAAACATCTTGGATAAGTCATAAACTCTTCCTTTTCCTTGTCTTAACTACTCATTTTTAAGTGTTTTCTGTCCAAATGAACTCACTTAGCAGAATGAAAAATAGAACCAGACTAACCAGTCAGCCCAGTTAGAGGGGTGCTAAGCTCCCTTAGCTCTGCTCATGGTTTATGATAAAGTTCAGGTGCCCTGGACAGTGCAGAGACAACAAAATATTGATTTTAGCTATAGGAATTCTGGCCATGTTATCCAACATGAGATTCTGGAAAAAAATGCTGTGATTAGATGCAGCACTCTGATATGTACACACAAAGGGATGAAATGAGGTTGCAGGAACTTTCTTGACCTTGAAACCTGCCATAGTTGTTTTTGAACTGAGGTTTTCTGTCTTGCATAATCAAGAAGTTCTGAGGAGAAACACAGGGTCATAGACCAATATACACAGAAAAAATAAGGAAGGAAATCCAGGAAGTGACAAAAAATATTCAAGAATGTGCACAACAGAATCAAATAATTCTCTTAGTATTTACAACTTCACCATAAGAGAAAGCTGGAGAAATGAGAAAAGAGCAGAGAGGTTGAGAGACACATAGAATTTAATTTAGAATGGTAAAATGCTGTAAAAATTCTAGGTATTGAGTGTCCCTGATTACTGTCTTCTCACTGCCTAAATAGTTTTTTGTGGAACCTTTTACCTGTGTGTGATAAGTCTGTGTATAAATATTTCCAAGATTTTGCTTACCAGCCTCTCTGTCTGTTTTTAACAAATTCACATTTTCTAATGTCATTCTTGTCTATCATTTGACATTTTTATCTTTTTTTAGGTAATTTAAGGTCATCTGGAAGTTTCAGGCTTGAAAACTCCTTGTAGTGATTTAACTACATGAAAAAAAAATCTTAGTGTCTTCAATTCTGGCCTCTAAAATACAAACAAGAGAAACAGAATGTCACTTTTCAAGTAGGTACAGTCTCAGCTAAAAATCTGTATTGTTTACAGGCAGAGACAACATCAATCAGTCTGAATTTCTCCGCTTCATTAATGTGACTTTGGTTCCTCATAGAAAAATGTATGTTATTAAATGGGTAGATTGGATTCTCTTTTACTTAGAACACCAAAAAATAGCAGCTCCATCCAGAATTGATCCAGGACACATCTTCATCTTGATAGCTGCAGGTGCTTCTTTGGGCCATGGAATCAGTCCCTACATTTGCACCAGGAAAGTTCCTGGGTTGTTGCCTTGGCAGTGAATGTCTGTTGAAAAAAATCACAGTTGATTTGCCTTTTGGCAAATCAATTTTGTTGTTAATTTTGAGCTTGTGTTTTGCTTTCTTCCTATAAAATTCACTATTTTTGCACACATTTTATTCCTATTAAAAACAAAAGGAGAGCTGTAGTTTGTTCTCTCCACTGCAGAGATGGGCAGGAAAGACTCCCCTGAAACTTTCTCCATGTACAACTTTAAACCATGCCTGACTTTAATAATATTTGCCACATTTTTTAGCACAACTCCCGCTAGTCTGAAAATTGTATTCAGCATTTGCATTGTTTCTTGTGTGGCATGATGTTTCTTATGTTACATTTTTCCACCTAAACCTGAGCCTGTGGAAGGTGACACGGAGCTGGAATCCACTGCCATGACATCACTAAATATCATTTAACTATTCAGTCAATATTTGCTCCATCATTTCTTGGAAAATGTGTATACTTAACTTGTCTGACCACAGGTTCTGAATCCCTTGAAATTTACAGTCTGTATGTGCTTCCATCAAATTATTTGGACAGAGACCTAAAGCAGGAACCTAAAAAGTTGGTTTTGCTGAAAATTACTCTTACAAAGCCAGTTTACACCACGAGTTTTTAAGCCACACACAAATCTTGTTCAGAAGCCAAATGCTTTTCTAGGAAACAGAGTTTTACGAGGCTTTGGATAGCAATGTGTGCATTGCATTGAGCTTCATCAGCTGCAAAGTGAGAGAATATCACCTGCTGCGCTTTTAGACAGCAGCCTAGGTGATTTCCCTAAGCTTTAATCACCTGGTGCCTAAAGAAAGCTGAAGATTTTGCTTATTGAACAGTTTGTAAGTTTAGCAAATCAAAGTTGCTTCTCTGATATAATTATTCCCTTTTCTGTGTTTACTCCTATTTTCAGAAGTCATTAAATTGAATTATTTATTCTTCTTTCAAAACAATGTTTTATTTCCCATGGAAATAGTAAGAGTTGGGTAAATGTCATGTGATGTAAATGTTCAAGTGGAACAGAGTTTAACAAATAAAACTTGGGAGTTACAAGACAGGAGACAGAGAAAAAAAAATGAGCCCAATTCTTTTTCTGATCATGTGGTATTTGGACAGTGAGGACGACCTGGACTGTAAGTAGGTAAATCCTCAATGTAAAAATTTAATATTATACACAATAAATTAACAAAATTAGGAAGTCTCCAATGAGTGGATAATTTCAGGTGATCTTTTTTAACTCCTAAACATCCTACAAAAAGCAGAGAGAAAAACAAGAGCCATAAGAATTATTTTTTTTTTGTCAACTACAGTGTTGCTAATCACCAAAGCATGTTATGATAAACTATATGTATTTTGTAGTAATGAAACTGAGCACCAGACATGCTGAAGAATATGTGAAGCTACACATTAGGTGTGGGGGTTTGCTTTTGCTTCCTCCTGAACCTAGTTTAGTATCTTCACGTACCCAGCACTGCTGCTGACTTCACTGGGACAGGGGGATGGAGAGAACTTCTGAATTAAGTGCAGGATTGAGATAAAGCTATGGAAGAAAATACAGTTTGTGTCCAAAATTCTGTCATATTCAAACTTTAGTAAATTGCAAGTGTCTGATAGTGACAAATCCTCCTTTTAGAAACCTGCAAACATCATCTCCCCTCCATCCTAGCTGGGACATGGATTATGGTTTCTCAAATTTGCATTTGATGCCCTTGCTAAACACTGAGGAAAACATTAAAAACAAATTGCAACATTTGACCATTGAAATTATTTTGGCCATTCTGCAAAATCCCTGGGTGATGGATGGAGCATCAACCCCTTTTCTCTGTGCTTCTCTTTCAGCTTCTGATATGGCGGCAGAGCAAGGACAGATTCTTGTAATTGCCACTGCTGCTGTGGGTGGATTCACTCTGCTGGTCATCCTCACTTTGTTCTTCCTCATCACTGGCAGGTAATTAAAACATTGTTCTCGTGTAGTCCCATATAAAATTAAGAAATTCAGAATAATATTCAAGTCATTAGACCATATTTCACAGATAAAATTAGGGTCAGAGAAAGTGGAATATCCTCTTTGTTCAGCACTGGTCATACAGTTCTTTTGTAAATGTGGTTTTTCATAAAGAAACACTTTGGGGAGGTAAGAAATTATGTGAAATGAGGAAGTAGTTTGGATATTTAGAAATAAGTTTCTGGACCTCTTGCCTGCAGAGTGATAATTTAAAAATGCAGTATACCTGCTGCACCCTCAATGCTCTGACATTACATGGAAAAGAAAAAAAAAAGAAAATGAGAAAAAATCCGTACATTATATTCTACAAAATCTCATAATTGTCAGTTGCAAAACTTTAGAGAGAGCATTCCTCAGATATCAACAGAGGGTGCTGCACTTTCAGATTTGTAATTACACATCAGTTTTCTTGGTATATCATTACCTCTAATTTGAACAGAAAGTGAAGTTCTATCAGTGCAGAGCAGAGGTTTGTTTTGCAATACCCCAACAATACCCTAAATAAGGCACTGCAGTAGCTGCCATTATGTGAATTAATGCTCTCTCTGCTAAATAATAAAACCAGTTAAATCTAACATTCTGGTGAAGGTAATGAGAGCAGTTTACCTTGGAACATACTGTGGCCTTAGATAATCTTAGAGGCTGAGTAAATATTCCTGCAATTACTACAGAAGGTGACAAGCAGTAGGATGTTTCAGAAGAGAGATAAATTATTTAGACAGAGACAAATTTCCAGAGAAAATGATTGTGTGGAATCCATATGTGAAACCCTGAAACGGCTCAAACACTTCCTTTAGGAAAAAAATCACTAAACTTGGGAATGAAAAAAAATATATGGAAATGGGTTTCTTTCTGTGTTTCTTCCTCCTGTTTCCTACTGTTAAGAATATCAGAGATTCTCTTAGCTTTCTACTGCCTTACTCAGTGGGGCCATTTCAATTATGTAAGATAGGAAATCGTTTTGAAGTGCTGCTTAAATGCAGTGATAAGAGCATGTTCCACAGAAGACAGAGCAAGAAAATTTTGAATAAATACTCAATTTTCTCTAGGACTGGAGGCAAATTTCAGCATGAAAAATGGCACTGGTACCCTACAGATGTGCTCTGCTTCACTGTTTAGAATTAACAATCTGATGAGCTGTCGAGTCTCAGGGCTGCTGATGAGCCTATTCAGAGTGGAGAGGCTGGGTGAAATGAGCACCTGCCTCTGCACTGTGCTGGGTCATTATCCACCAGGAGCAAGCAGGAAGCAGGGCTGTCAGTTGCAGATAGAAATATGAAAGCAGCAAAGGCTTCAAGACACAGGACTGGGGTCTTGGCTCAGTTTCAGGACACGGGATGTTAAAGCTCAGTCTGATTTAGACTTATCTCTGATTGTTCTGCAGTCAACATGAGCAGAGAATGAGGAGATTCCTCTGCTGGTCATTAATCACTGGCTTCTGTAGTCAAACTTGGGGGCCACATGGATGTTTAGGAGGGTTGGGTAAGGTTAATGTCTTTTTCTTTGCCTGTTCCCTTGGGCAAGCACTCGGAGTGTAAGAAGTTGTGTTTAGAGCTCTGGACAGGTGGCACCCTACAGACCACTTGCTCAGGTCCTAAAAATGGCACTGGCACCCTTAGGGAGTCACAGAAACTGGTGTTCAATCTCAAGGTTTCCACAGTCTGAGAATCCACTGGTTTCCATTCCCCCACAAGGGCACACCAGCTTCAGGAGTTTCTGCCTTTATTTTCCTTCTCATCACATGAGTACCAGTGAATGAACCTGTGACTGTTCCTGCTGTGAGGTGGGTGTGTTCACCTATTCCTCAAAGATCTCCACTACTAGTATGGATTTACTGACTGTAGTTATTTTTATTTAATTTTATAATGCTGGGAATGTTCACACAGAGGACAGTCTTTTTTGTTTTTTCAAGCTGGTTTTGGTACTGCATGTCTGTACTCCAGAGCACACATCCACAGGCACTGCTGTTCTCCACAGGCATCAGAGCCTCAAGAACCCTTTGCTATCCCTTAAACCAAAAGATTTCCCTCCTAACAGTAATTTTATGCTGCTCAGTGAGTGATAGCTTTAAGACCAAGAGCAAATATTTTGTTTTTTTCTTGGCTGAAACAGTTGGTCCTGCCACGCGACCCCCTAAATCAGTATTATCAGACCTGCAGGTAGGCAGTGTTCAGCAGCTCAGGCTGCACAGAGCCATTCAGCAAAAGAGAAAAAAGGGGTCCTGATGTGAAAAAAAAAATTTTCTTTTTTCATGAAACATGGTGAAGTCATTATAATTCTATCATGAAGAAAATGAGGGTATTTTACCCACTGTATATGAAATTTAATGGGATAATGTTTAATTACCACAGGGCTATGCATGCAAACAGAAATGCAGGAAAGTAATAATTAATTGAAGTATCAGAATTCTTTGGAGGAGTCAAAAAGAAAAGTATTACATCTTAAACTCAGATAGTTATTGTCATGCTAGTCATTCAACGATGATCTGTTTTATTTGTATATAATCTATTTCTGGTTCATAATGCATATTTCTCTCTTTAGATTCCTAAGTAAATAGATATTCCAAATGCAAAGAACTTGGCTTTCATAAAATTGCAGATAAAACTTGGTGTACACAAGTATTATATCAAAGATAAACTCAGGTAGTTATTGTCAAGCTAATCATTCAACCATGATCTGTTTTTCTTTGTATATAATCCATTTGTAGTTCATCATGCATATTTCCCTCTTTAGATTCCTAAGTAAATACATATTCCAAATGCAAAGAACTTGGCTTTCATAAAATTGCAGATGAAACTCGGTGTACATCTATTTTGTTCATGGCAAGTATTTTACTTAAAACCTTGCTTGTTTTTCTTGAAAGGTGCCAGTGGTACATAAAGGCCAAAATGAAATCTGAGGAGAAAAGAAGGGCTCATTTGCAAAATGGACACTGTAAGTAGTTCAACACTATATAATATCTATATCATGTTTTAAATGAACAAAGTCCACTGTTTCCTGAATAGCTTTTGCCCTTGATGTTTTAATCTGGTTATTTGAGTAGTTCCTTATTGTCTGCATCATCAATGGTCTTTATTTTTGTTTGCAATTTCACTAAATTTATTCTAGTTATTAAAGGGTTCTAGTTATTAAAGGGTTCTTTGGTATTCAGCTAATAGTATTTAGCAGGTTTTCAGGTTTATTTCTTTGAATTCCCAGTTGTTCTGGGTACTGGATTTCTGCCTCAAAATTCCTCTCCTGGTGACTGTATTACTTATTTGTATCTAGTTCTCTTTGGATTTAGGGATCTACACTTCCAGCCACCCAAGAAATAAGAAGTGGAATGGGTTGTCTTTCTTCATGTTCCTGCTCACTGGTCAGTACAGTGAGAGAAAATCCTGGTGATCTCTCTTGGGCAATAATTAGTTTATATAGCTTAGTTTAGTTGCCTACTTTAAATTAGTTGCCTGACTGTTTCGTGTTAGAGTAACAATTTAAACTTTTTTTATTCAAAGGGTATTGCACAAAGGGTATCAGCTTTTATTCTTTCATCATTTTGATAACATCTCTGGAAATGCTATGATCAACACAGAAGTTACCAGAAGTAAAATATTTTTTCAGGTGACACCACTATATCGAGCCAAGTGTCTCTTTCTGTCAAGGAAAAGGGCTCATTTGCCCATAAAGTATACTGCCTAGAAAGATGGTTTTGTCATTTGTTTCCAAGCATGGCCAGAAATAAAAAGACAAAAGCCCTCCTCCTGAAGAGTTTGATATATGCCTCTGAGACCGTGACTGAATTTGAAAAAAGCCTCACTCAGTGTCTTTCAGGCCAGGGTAAATGATGACTGTATTTCATGTTGACACAAAGCTTCATCTCAGAGCCTTCCCATCCATTTGTAGTGATCTCAGCATCACACTGGAGGGGGAAAGTCTCTACTCATATATGTGCTCCACAGAACCAAGAATAAAGAGGAATTACTGTTTTAGACTCAGCTATTAACTGACAGGAGAAAGAAGGCTGAGAAATGCTTCATTCTTTTTCAAGGGATTCTCTGGACACAGCTGCAGATGCCTCTTTTTGTCCTGATAAATTGATGGATTATTATCATCAACTTCTGATAATGGATTGAAAGATTTCCAGAACTTAATCACAATATGGCAGCAGCCTAAAAGAATTCCCACACAGATAGTCCAGAAGAAACAACACAAGTTCTTGAACATGCTATGCTCAGGAACACAAGGGATATCAGCCATGCCAAAAAGTGACAGCTTGTTGGAGCCTGCCAAAGCAATCTGGCACCCACCCACCACTGCCATGGTCATCTCCAAGGAAACAGACAGAAATTATCTTGAAAATGGATTTGGATATTTTTGTTGTCATCTTGCACCTGGCTCTCTGGCTGTTCCAGCTGATCAGAAGAGAACAAAGCAGCACAGCCCTCCAGAACTCATCCTGAGAGAAAAGGAACTCAAAGATTTGACCTGTTTGGCAAAACAGGATGTTCAGCCATCCTCTCCTAAATGAAAGGAGTGAACTAGAAACAACTGTTTTCAAAGGAAAGGACAGATTGCCTCAATTGCCCAAGGGGCAGCAAAGGGGAAGATAAACTGCTTTGGCAAAAATCACTGCTTGTTTTGAGGCCATGCTTTTCCCCATATCATTGAGCCCTCACTTGGTGCCTCTGCAGACCCTTTTTCAAGTGACCAGCTCTTCTGTTGGTATCTGAAATTTTAAACCTGGAAGATATTATTTTCAGTCCTTTCAATTGCCTAGTCAAAAAAAAAAAGAAAAGAAAAGAAAACATTGTTGCAATGCATGAATGTCAAGGAGTTCCTGATTCCTCTTATTCTCTCTTTCTTGCAGTACATTTCCCAGGACTCAAAACATACATAGACCCAGACACATATGAAGATCCATCTCTTGCTGTCCATGAGTTTGCCAAGGAGATTGATCCTTCAAGAATTCGTATTGAAAGAGTCATTGGGGCAGGTAAAACTATCCCTACTGTAAAAAAATCCCTAGGCATGGCAATACTGCTTTTCCTAAGCTTTAGGAAATTAATTCATTATCAGTTTTTTGTGTAGGATTGATTTTTTTGCCTGGCTTTTTGGGGAATTTTTCTTTTGTTTTGTTTTGTTTTCTAGATGTATTCAAAACACTATGTCACTCAGCATGTGGCATGGTTATTGTCATGTATTCTCAGTCACTGAGGGTGAAATTAGATCAGAATCTCTTTCTGTGGGGATATAAGCTCTGAATATAGAAGACTGAGAAAAAATTATTCTCAAATAGAAGACTGGAGGGAAGAAAAGAAGAGGCTGGCTTGGGATAGGCTTTTCTGTCTGGAGAAGGATCACTGGCAGAGAGGGAAAAGGGGAAGATCTGTTGATAAGATGTAGACAGTATTAAAGATGATGCCCTGTAATCCTTTTTTTAATATTGTTTCATATATCTTAGTCCCTCTAGAAAGGAAGGGTATTTTTCAGTTTAAACCCCTCATTTAATGGTATGTTACTGCACTGATAACCATGGAAATATCCCCAGTGTTGCTAAGAAGTGTTTCATGCACTGGAAAATGTTGTGCAATAATCCTACAGAAATAAAACCAGGTCTGGTAGCAGGCAGGAGAGAGAAAGTAAAAGAGAAAATTCTGTTTCGCGTTGCTGTCCATAGTGCTGAAGTACTCCAGTTTACCTGGTTGCTTAGGCCACATCATCTGCAGCTGGAGGTGTGCACCTCTGGAATTATGAGCCTGGGAGAGCCTCCAGAGGGCTGACCTCTGCAGGGAACATTCAGTTTGCTTTCTTCTATTTCTTCCCTTTCTTCAGGCACTCTATAGATATTGATGTCTTAGATTATAAAGGAGATTGAGCTACATTCCACATCTGTGTAACTGCTGATTTCAGTTGAATACAACAGACAAGGATTATTTGTTTCAGTTCAAATTAAAATTGTGTCCTTAATCACAGTTTAATTCATTTGTGAAAACTCTTCTCTCAGCTTCTCTCTCTGCTTTCCTGTGTGCATGGAAGTGTATGCTTTGACATATTTTACTTTTATGGGTTTTATTTTTATGGTTTTTATTTTCTAAAATTACATGGGTAATCTGTCAACCTCAACAATACTCACCTAACAGGACTTGCAAACAGGTCGCGATGAAATTTAAACCTATTTCCATGCATACAAGATACAGGTTAAATACCATGGCTGAGGCAGGGAGAGTACAAATTCCCACAGAGTTCTTCAGTAACTGCTCAGGGACATAACAGCAGTATCATTCTCAGCAGTCCTAAAGGCTTCTGTGCATTCTCTCTAATTCTGTACTATACATTTGCAAATTCTCACAGAGTTCTTCAGTAGCTGCTCAGGGACATAACAGCAGTATCATCTCAGCAGTCCTAAAGGCTTCTGTGCATTCTCTCTAATTCTGTACTATACATTTTAATTGGATATAAAATGGATTTCTTATCACAAGAGAATTACTTTAAAAAGATGCTTACAATTTTCACCTTAGTGAAACCAAAAATCAACATCTTCTCTTTTAACACTAAAAAGATAGATTCACTTCTAAATTTGTTCCGTTTTAACATTTTATTTTGGCCATTAATTCTCATTTTTAATTTATGTAACTTTTTAATTGTTCAAAGTTATTTCCATTCAAGAACCAAAAGATTTCATTCTGAAACTGCTAAGTGAAAAATTACAAATACTTGAAAAAAAAGAAAATTCTAACATTTGTGGTCATGACATTTTTAAAACTGTTCTTCTCCTGGAAGCAACTTCCAGTTTGTTTTTTTCAATTGAAAAAGTAATGTCCAAAAGTTCTTGATAATTTACTACTTGGAGTTCTGATGACTGTGACACTCAAGGCAAGTATTTTTGGTTAGTTTCTTTTGTCAGCTTAACTCTAACCTAACTCTGTACCAAAGTTGTATTTAAAGTATTTGGTAATTATATCTCACCCATACACATTTTTGTGCTCCATCTCTTCTTGCTGTTTGGTTTAAGGGTTCAGCCCCTCTTCAGGAAATGAATTCCCAGAGGTACTTTGTCAAGTCTGTCCTAAAATTTACAAGTATCCTCCTGTTTTCTCTGCTAAAATATTGAAATTCAAGGAAGAGATCAACTCAAAGACAATATTCTTTGCATGATCTAAATCTCCTGCAAGTTCTCGCACAAGTGAGAAGACTGAAATGGGGAAGTGAGTTGAGCTGTATTTGGTGCTGTGACCTTTCAGTTCTATCAGCAGCCACTGTCTGTGCTGTGAGACATTTGTTCTGATCCCATCCAGTAATACCAGGCTGCACTTCAGACTTTAAGTGACTGACTGCTCCTGTTTCACTTTCAGTATCACATATGCCCTGCTGAATGCAAAAAGGGAAGGATGGTTTGCACAGATTAAATTTCTAGACTGCTCAATTAGCTCCTTTTTGTATAATACACAGTAAGATGGGTGAGGCATCTGTTATTAAACCAGAGATTATTTTCATTTTATTAAAACTGAACAGGCAGTGGACTCTATCTTTTTCTCTAGTTGTGATCAGCCTTTTCCCTGGAGCAAGGAAAAATGTTGACTTCATTGACACCTGGCTCTGAGCTTCAACTTATTACACATGCAGTCATGAACCTCAGCTGCTGCAGGGTCAACATTTATTCTGTTTATCTTCAAACCTGAGCAGTGAGAATGAGATTCTTAGATTTTAAAAACCCCTTTGGTTAAACCCATTCCCCTTTGACTTTAAAAACATTGAAAATTCTTTATCTGAGCAGAAGTGTAGAAAAGATACTGTGGGATGAAATCTTGTCAAAGTCTCAGTGTAAATAATTCAATGCTTTAAATTATATCATTGATCTCCATCTAGTCTAAAACAGAAGTGGAAGTTATCATACACCTTAGGTTTCTGTCTGTTGTGAAACTGATGATCTCAAGTTTGACATTATGTCACAAAAAACCTGCTGGTAGTCTTTATGTTCACCAGTTTATCAATCCCAATATCCAAGGGGATGGAAATTTCTTTCTAACTTCCCAAATCATGCATCCAAAAAAAAAGTAAAAGAAACAGGGGTTCCTTTCCCTGCTTTGGGTGTTGCGCAGATAATAAATCTTGGAATTGCAAGTTGTTCAGCTGCCTCCTTCAGTTAAATTCATTTTAAAGCACTTGGTAACAGCCTTTTAGAGCCCCTGAGGGATGAATGTCATTATTTATGAAATTCTGAAGCTGTAATATTCTTGGATAATCTTGTAGTAGCAAAATGATTTATTCTATAACCTATGCTTTCCAAATTAGTCTTAAAATGAGATTTTGCAAGTCTGCAGATTTATTGGCCACAAAATTTCTTTAAAAATCTGATATTAAGACTCTAGTATTTTTGCTTTTTACTGCTTCTTCAAGAGAAGGAATTGGAAAAATTTCTCATTTTAGGCATTTAAGCTTGAAAAACCAGCAAGATACAATAAGATCATGGTTTTAGAGAAGTGTTCTGGTCCTGCTGAACATGTCACAGAACAGAAGATTGATAGACCATGTCTCCCACAAAACATTCGGGTTTCATCACTTTCTTTTATGGGAGCACATTACAAGTCCAAATTATCTACTGCTTTTTCAGTGCAAGTAGTCAGGCAAGCAATCTTTTAAGGAGAGTCTTCTAAAGGTGAAAGGGACAAAATCATGTAGGAAAATCCTCACACAACTTACCTTTTTGTCAAAAGATTCCCAGAGCATCAGGCTAATGACATATATTTTCACGTATCTTATATTTGCACACATCTTTAATTTATTTTTTAAATTAAGCAGAAATAAATTAGTGGGAGGAACTGTACAAAGAGGACCTGGAACCCCTTGATTTTTTTAGCTGTTTAGGAAGCTGCTAATTTATTCAGAGGTTATGTTCAGCATGTGTTACGGCATTGTATTCCTGTACTTGATGATGCCTCTGTCATTGAAGTGAAAGACAAGCTTTGAAATTGTTATTTTAATCTCACTCTTCCTGGATCTAAAGATAATAAAACTTTGATTTACTGGAAGCAAGAGAACCTAATAAAATAAAAGTCTTGTGACAATATCCATTCTAATCCTGTAACATCAGGGAGTTATAATTTTCTGAAGTGAAGGTTGTGCCTTTTATGCACCTCTCTTCTAGATTTGCTTCATATCTGAAGATGCACTCTTACAGAATAGAGCTCCTTTATTTTGTTTACTTTTGTCCTTAAAATGTAGGGAAAACTAATACAGATAGCACTCAGTGGAGTGTTAAATCCTCAGTTAAATATTATCTGTTCATTACTTGTTTTTTGGATTTTAGCATTTCTGATTCCAAAATGACTGGGGTAAAAAATTTAGATTTTCTGTGAAAGCAACCTGCACTGAGAAATGCTTTGAAATATTTCTGTCAACATTGTTTTTCATTTACTGAATCATAACCTATTGAAAACTGACCTGCAGTCATCCAAGAGTATGTTTGCTAGGGGCTCTGAATAACTTCTGTGTGACTTCAAGATCAAAGGAAAGTTGCGATTTCCATACAAACTGAATTATTAAATGTGTAAGGAGAATGCAGGGAGACACACATCCTTCACAGGCCCTGCACAGACAGGGAAACATCAGGGGAAACAAGTTTTGAGATTCCTCTCACTGCACAGCCCCAGATTTGTTGGGACTGTTTGCCTTTGGCTGTGTGAGCAGGGAAATGTGTAATTAATTTCAAGTAGGTGTGGAAGTCCATTTATATAAATCACGTGCAAGTGCTTTTCTAGGTCATAACAGCATAAAGTGTTTTTTAAATGCTTTCTGTAGCTGAAGTATAGTCAAGTGTTCTGATAGTCTCAGGGCTTTTCTTAACATACAGGTCTTACTGCATTTCACCCCTAGAGATAAATATTTATACCAATAGATGTTTTGTCATTAGTGGAATAAAAATCCAAGTGTCATTACATTCCTTCCTCAGTTATATATCCCAAACCTGTTGATACCAATGTTCAGTCTCAGTGGGAGGACTGAAGGTTTGCCTTTTGCAGGCTCAGTACAAGGTGCCATGATCTCTGCTGTGGCACAGAGGAAAGGTGATAATTTCTTATGAATGCTGATGAATATTTTGATTTTCTGGGATGTGATGACACTCTTAAATCTGAATATTCAATCAGTTATTTCTCTTTCCACTTCTATGGGATGTGTGAGTTCTTTGAATATTCTTCTTTACTGAGTTACTAACAGATATTTTATCTATTTCAGGGGAGTTTGGAGAAGTCTGCAGTGGACGTCTGAAGACACCAGGAAAAAGAGAGATCCCTGTTGCCATAAAAACTCTAAAGGGTGGCTATATGGACAGGCAGAGGAGAGATTTCCTGAGGGAGGCGAGTATTATGGGACAGTTTGATCACCCAAATATCATTCGCCTTGAAGGAGTTGTTACAAAAAGTAAGTCACTAATACCTTTCCTTAATTGTTTTATGCTGCCTTTCCCATTCTGTCTCATTTAGTATTGAAATTAACATTATTTTTCTCATTCAGTATGGGTTGCAGTTCTCAGAAATCTTCCAAATCATTGACAATCAATACTGCAAAGTTTGGGACCATAACAGGAAATGCATAGCATGTCTGTTTTCAATGTGAAATGTTTCATTTTTATTTTTCAATAACAATTGCCCAAATTCAAAAGAAGTCTGTACAGGTTCTTATGAAATAGAATGGAGAGTTTGCTTATGGGCAAGTGGAGAAAACCACAAATGTAACTGAGCTGACAGTGAAGTCAAAGTTATCTTGTAAAATATCTCATTTGTGCAAAAGTGCTTATTATTTATTTGATTGAAATTTACTGGTTTTCGTACCCGAAGAGATTAATTTCCTGTTTTGAAGAAGTAAAATGTAAACTCTGTGTAGCTTGCTGTATACTGCAAAGATTGACTAAAATTCCAGAATAATCTTTGAAATGTTTTACTCTTTATAATTGTTGCAGCTGCCGAGAGAGATCCCTTGCCTCTGAAATCCAGCAGGTTTAGTGGTGTTATGGACTTTTCTGAAAGGCTGAAATATCTAGTTATCATTTAACTATTAAGAAGTCTAATTAACATGCATGTAATTTCCTCAATGACAACTTTTTTCAGTTCATGGTATGTTCTTTTCAAAATCAATCATTGTCTCAATCAAGCCGTGTTGTTTGTTAATTCGCAGAATTTATATTTTTTATTTAAAGGGAAGTGTTGTGTGTATAATGCAGTGTCCTCTTACCATCACAGTAAACACAACAAATATGTTATGAATATTTCCTCTTTTCACCTCATTACGACATCCAAAGCTATGTTTGGGAAATCAAGAACAAAGAGGAAAGTTTAGTTCCTGAGCTCATGTCGTTGGAATGGAATTTCAGTAGGTGTGTGGAATGACTTGACCATGTTCAAATCTGTCTCTCTGTGGTTCTAAATTAAGATGATCTTTTTCTTTCCTCACACAGTATTACAAGGATAAATTTATTGGGTTTTAGGTATGTTTGGTTGGTAGACTAACAAAACCCATTGCATTGCAGGAAAGGCAGAGCTTAGTTTCTCCCCTGCTCTCCTGTCAGTGTCAGCTCTGTGACAACAAACAGGAACACAAGTAAGTGCTGGCTGAGCAGCACTGGAGATCTTGTCAAGAGATGTAAATGTGTAGGAACTTAAGTGAATTTACCTTTTGCTTCACACTGAGCATATCAGCAATTAATTTCCACCAGCTTTCACCATCAGGGGTGGTTTATGAATCAGTAACACTGGTCTGGTTGGGATCCACATGGTGGATCTTGTAGGGTGTGTCTTGTCTAAAAAAGGCAAAATGTTGTGGTCTAGGAACATTGTTTACATCTAATTAAATGGTGCATAGGGAGAACAGTATAATAATAATAATGTCCTTGGCAATGGCATGATTGTTTAATCTTTACCACATTTGTAAGTTTTCTTTCTGTAATGCCTCATCATCAGTCTTTCAGAGAGAGAAAGCAAGGTGGCATTCAGAAAAGAGAAACAAACAGATAAATCACTGCTCCAATATTAGAGTATTAGGTGTGCTACAGGAACAATTATAGAGAACTGTAAGGCAAAATGTTATCAGTAGCAGTTCTGCTTTTCACCAAGGAGTCAACAAACTTCATTGATGTTTTGTGATATTTGTTTGAAGGTAGTATAAAAATAACAGGTGTTACTGTTATAGCCACACTGTTGTCTAAAAAATACACATCTCTCAGATATAAAATAAGTAGTGGAACTTTGAAAGAATATACTTCGGTGTGAGGCAGGATTTAAAAAAAACCAAACAATTATGTAGCCATAATTATGAAATGAAAATAGGCTATGTGAATTATGAGCAAAGTTCACCTCCAGGCACAGAAAGTGCAAGTTACATAAATTGAAAGGACAGGATTGTGCAGCACTGCTCTGCCACAGGGAAGGAGCCTGAAGCAGGCTGAGCCATGGACACATGCACTCTGCTTTTCCCGTTTTGTCTTTAGAGTGTTGCCTTGCATTTATACTGCCCCATCTGGGGTATTTAGAGAAAAACATGATTTCAGCTTGGAGGAGAGCAATTGCCTTGCCAAAGTACTAAGTCTAGGATTCCAGAATCCACATTTCATATTGCTGAAAGGTGTGCTCTAAAAGTCAGAAAAAACTTTGTCCTAGCCAAATTGTTTATGTACTGATAGCGTGAATAAAAGGTGTTTTGTGCTAAGACCTAGATTAATAACAACAGAAACTATCTGATGTGCACTGCAGTTCCACTAAGCTGTAAAGGCACATCAGATGCAGTACATTTGATTAATAGATGTGTAGTGCTGTTCTTAGCACATGCTTTCCTCTGTGTAACCATTAGTCATTAACTTCTAGCTCTTGCTGATAGATATTGCATCAGTTTGTAAGCAGTGCCTTCCATTACAGTGTCATTGACTATTGAACAAAAAAGAAAAAGGATTTGGTTGTAATAAGCAGAAGTGCTGTACCAAGTCAATAGCTATTGACTGGGGCAATAACAAATTTGCCTGCTCCCTGCAAATGAGAGCTTTTATCTGGTGCTACCAGCTGAGCAAATGTTAACTTTTAAATTATACTGTTTTCAGAATTGCTGTGGAATATGTACTGTACAGGAGGAAAGAAATGCTAAATAAGCCTGCTCAAAAGTAGCTCTGAAACGGAGTTTTAATTCCCTTTTCTTATGGCTTCATTTCTCATTTGTCCTAGCTGTAATCCCTAACTACAGAGAACAGTAAGCAGCATAGTTGCTGTAGCACAAGCTTTCTGTTAGCAGGGAGTTCATTTCAAGGGCAATTTGCTAGGCCAAGACAAACACACCATGGCCCAGAATCTGGTTCCACTCGTATTACTAACCAGAACTCACAGGGGAAATTTTATTCTTGTTTGGTTTTGTTACAGCAACACCATTCCTTGCATGGTTTGTCACAAAAGGCTGCTTGATTACCTCACAAATTTATCATAGATGCTTGGGCATTTCATAAAAACATCCATGTTTCCTTTCAAGCATTGTTAGCACAGTGATAATTTTGGGAGCTCTTTTGGATGTGCCAGGGCATGCTCAGGTGATTTTTATGTCTGTTGCCAAGCTGCTGCTATTTCATAAACAGGTATGAGAACAATCATTTCCTTCTCCAGTGCAAACTCATGTGACCAACTGAAATCTGGGCTCTAGAAGAGTAAGATGTGTCTTCATTTCTACATCATGTTGAAGGCTTTCCATGGAAAGTCTATAAACAAAATTAAAGCTATGCCTACAGAAAAAAAAATCAGGCTGTATAACTACATCTACAAAAGGCATGGAAAAGGGTCCCTGACTATTGTAACTGTACTGGAAGAAATCCAGACTGGAATCTTTGCTTAGTTTTGCTCTACAGTGTCTTACACAATAGTTTAGAGCAAAACCTAATCAGTACTATCTAATACTGGTTCAGTAAAAAATATCAGTGCATGCAAGGGCTTTATTACATTCATAATCTGTTTGTTCCTCTCCCCCACAAACTTTACCCTAAATGACTTCAAATTCTTAAAAATCAGTTCTAAGGAATTGCTTCCGTTCCAGATTTTGACTGCTGAAGGTTTCATACGCGTCACACGTACAAGAGGAATCTTTTTAAGGCATTAATTTTCTTTAATAGCATTATGTACATTTGTATTCTCCAGAAGGATTTTCAAAATAGTCCCTTCACAAAAGGAGGATAAATGAAGACAGCACCTAGAGCTCTGGTTTTGTGTAAACGCACATCCTCAGACATCGAGCCTGGCTTTGGAATGACACTGATGACTCCCTTATTGTCTCCTCACTGTTTTGATTTCATGACTTTCAAATTGTGAAGAGTATTGCAGTTCTGAAATCTTCAGACACTCATTTGCAGATCAATTTAAAGCTTTAATCATTGAGTTTCTTTTCAAATTACTGTATATAACCCATTCAGTGCAACAAAAGCCCTAAAATTAGTGTACCTTATCTTGTTCATGAGGGAGGCAGAGCAGCAACATGATCCTCTTTCACTGAAATTTACCATATGAAGCTCTTAATATCTGACCTTTTTCTTTCTTTTTTTTTCTTTTTTTTTTTAGATTTTTTTTCAAAAATTCAGGCCATAGTGACTTCTTTTTTTTTCAGCCAAAACATTGTGCTCTAGGCCTTTGAGCCTTTATTGTAATGAATATACTGTTGTCCTTTTCTCCCACCTGTTAAATGACGTTCAGAATCCTTTTCAGAAGGTGACATATTTTGTAGTACATGTGTTTCTTGTACACATAATGTTGTATATTTTGTTGCCACACAAAAGGATTGATTCCCTTTTGTGGCAATATTAACCATATTCTTACCTTGGTCTTGGATGGTGAAATTGTACTCCCAGGAATCATGATTCTGCAAAGTTTAAATGTTGTTTATGGAAAATCCACTGTGGTGGTGACACTGTATGTGTGTCATATTAGCCAGTGGACTTTACATGGCAATGAGCATAAAGCTGAGTTTTTCTGATAAAATTTCACTGTAGTTGTGCACATAATGACAGACAAAACAGCAGGATCTCAGCTGCGTTATAAATTGTTCAGTAAGTGGAACTGTAAATTCAAATTTGGCTCACTCCCTCTATTATCCTTTGTATCCTTATTAAATAAATACTGCAACACATTGCTGAATCCAGGGTTGGCGTGGCCATCAAATTAATACAAAACCCACAGCCACCAACCACCTGCATTGTTAGCCAAATTTGTGAGCTCAGTTTATTCAAGTATCATCCAAAATACAGAGCTGAAAGAGCTGTGCATATAACACAGACAACACAAAGTATCTGTAGCCTTCTTGCAAAATAGGTTACTCTTCCAGACTGGTACTGGAAGAAATGTAATTAATGTTGATAGTCCTGGGCTATTTTTACACATGCATGCATCCTTGTGGACATTTCAATT